AGATACTCTTCCCAAACACACAACTTATTAGGCTGATTGCAATGGGTGGGGGTGAAAACCCAAATGTGAGGTTTTCACCCCCAAAAGAGCTGCAACCGGGAAGAAATTTTGTATAGGAAGGAGTCACATGGAGTATGGAGACCCTTGGGGGGCGACTCCTGGACGGGCAATTGCCTCTCATCTGGAGGTGACTTGCGCAGTGGAGTAAAGAAAGGGCCCTCAACCATCAACGCGCTTGACAAGAGTGGGGTGACCTGGTGGACTATGTTTCTGCGTGGGAGTTAGCTGCTTTGCTGCGGATGAAAAAGAGTGGGGTGACCTGGTTTCTTGGCTTCTTTTTGTAGGAGGGAATTAATTAAAAAAAAATTGGTTTGGTGTAAAGCTATATTATTAATCAAATACGGAGTAATAGTTTTAAATTCTTTCAAAAAAAATCAATAGTTTTAAATTTATTTCAAATTGAACTCAAGTAGGCATTTTTTATACTTACAAAAAAAACCACATTTTTTATTTTTTTTATATCGGAATGTTTGACTTTTTAAAGAATAATTATTGGTAAAAATAAAATTATCACATAAATGATGTGTAATAAAAAAAAGTAAGGATTTATGCATTTACTTAGAAAAAATATGTGCTGAGTGGATATATTGACGGTGTTGGGTTGCAGAGAAAAAATGAATTGACTGGATGAATACGTATAAAGTGGTGTGAAATTAGATTTATTGACGGGTTGCGGTTAGCCTTACCCAAAGCTAAATTCAGAGTATTTTGTGGGCTCACAAACGCACACCGTTGCTTCATCCAGATTCCAGGGCTTGGTAAATGACTGTACAGGCATTTCATCCATCACCACCACTAACCATTTCCAAAATTCCTCCTCCCATGGCAAACTCCGGTCATCTCGATCCTAGCATGTAGAAGACCGTGATCTTCTAAACCCATCTCCCCAAACTATCCTACTCACGCCCCTCTCGAGTCCCTATTGACCGAGCCCAGCAGGTGATATTAGATCTGGGAAAAGTGACTAAGATCGCCTTGAAGCTTCTCACAGTCGGGGTGTGATATCGTGCTCAAGGTACAGTTCATCCAATTATACAATTTTGGTTGCTTCATTTGAATTTAAACTCAAAGCTTTATTAATCCACTCTACGGCATGTTCAAAGATTCATTTAAAATTTCATAAAAGGAACCCTAATTTGAAAGGCGTTGCTGTGAAACAAACTCTTGAGGCATTTATTCTTGCACCCCAAATTCGAACCCTTGGTTCTTTTGTATTTTTATGAATGGTTATTAGTTTTAATTTCCAAATTTGAACTATCTCAACAACTATTTCGGACTTATTCCTAATTTTTTTAAAACCTATTTTTTTATTTATTAAATCTCTATGTTTAAGAGTCCATACCATTATGTTTAAAACGTGTATTTTAGATTGTTTTCCAACATATTTATGTTTAAGATCAGATCCTGTGTGAATATTATTTACTGTTTGCATTTCATACTTCGTATGAAAATATTAGACAATTTTATAACATTCATGTTATATACTACTATATGTTTAACTTTTATCAGTCTGTTTTAATTAATAGAAGGTTGTCCCATACGATCTATAAATATATTCTTATATGGTTGTTTGGAAAACATTTTCTTTTTAACCATGCTGTAAAACTCACATGACACATATGTCCAATACCAAACCCCAGTCACATTCATATAGGAAAACTATCTATCTCACTAAATCACTTTAAATTTAATATCTGAAATAAAACCCCAGAAGTTTTGGTGGCATGATATGAAATATATCTGTCTTGGTTAATCAATTACTAAAATGTCCATTGAAGTAAAATTTTAACTTTGACGTTCTAAACAATGTCTTCAAGGAAAACTACAATGAGGTTCACAACCAAAACTCCAAGAGCCTATCATTTGTATTTAAAAAAATGAACTCCAAAAGTTTAAGAAGTATTATGGATGACATTGTATTTGACTGCATGTTTTTGTGTCTAAAAACGGATATTGTTAGCAATTTTACTCCTAGAGAGCTCTTCTCATCAGGCCGGCCTGACGGGCTGCCCCGTCCGGCCGAGCCCGTTTGGGAACCTTCCCGGTGGAATTTTTTGATGAAATTTTTTGAGCATGTTCCTCATCAAGTCTAGTTTGTCCATATCAAATTTCAGCTCAAAATTCGATCGGGAAGGTCGTCAAATGATTTTTGCAAGTTAACTGGTCCGGAAAATACATATTCCGGACTAGTTAACTTGCAAAAATCATTTGACGACCTTCCCGATCGAATTTTGAGCTGAAATTTGGTATGGACAAACTAGACTTGATGAGGAACATGCTCAAAAAATTTCATCAAAAAATTCCACCGGGAAGGTGCCCAAACGGGCTCGGCCGGACGGGGCAGCCCGTCAGGCCGGCCTGACATGAAGTTTTCTCTTTACTCCTATTAGCAAAAGATGAAGCATCTAACTTATTTTTGCCATACTATTTTCACTGTTAATAGAAAATTGAAACTTGGGCAATATAAAAGAGACTTAGTAGATAAACAATATCAAAGTCTTATGCCAAAGAGGATAAACCATCTCGTTTAACGATGAAAACTCTAAGAACTTAGAAACACAAAGTAACACAATTTCAATTCAAATAAACATCATCTTCCATCCAAAGTAAAAACAGCCATGAACAAAAAATATAGAATAGTTATCACATCATTCTGACTTTTCTCCATGAATAGACGGATCACCTTTTGTATCCTTCTTTACAATGCTCTAAAAGAAGTTGGATAAGGATTTATGTTGTCATTGAACGATGACTTTGTTTCTATTTTTTCATATGCAGAACGTTGGATAAGGATTTGTGTTGTCATTGAACGATGACTTTGTTTCTATTTTTGCTATTTGAGCCAGAACGCATAATGGATGTGATAATAATGCCGCTGGAGTGAGGTTTTTATACCTGAAGAAATCAGCAATAATAGGGTCGGATGGTATGGGCCACTGCCATACACTGTTTGGACCTCCTTTTCCACCAATAAAAGTAACGTTAGGTGAACAGCAGGGCAAATGGAGTCAGAATTTAACCCAACAGTGCTCACCGCCCATTTAGACCAATAGGAGCACCTGGAAATGCATTTCAACTATTCACACCTCCATGCCGAATGAATTAACATTTAGCGTTGAACTTGAGCAAAAAAAATACGGAGTAATGTATTGCGAAAGCGACAGATCTAAGCGGGAAAAATGTTTCCTGAATTCTTTTGCTTTTAGATTAAGGTAGATGTGCCAAAATAACGTAGGGACTTTCCTTTATATAGCTCTATCATAAATGTGCTAAAAAACGTAGGGACTTTCCTTTATATAGCTTGCTACTACTTGGAACAAAGTTCTTAAAGATAAAGTGCACACTCATTTGATTTATTTGGAGGTCGTTGTTTTCACTTTTTCGATAGCCAGATCAAACAAAGGAGAAGTGTATGGAAGAATACCATTTGAATACAACATTTCCATACTTTAATACGAAGTACGTAGTAGGTTGTATAATATTTACATAAAAAAATTAGGAAGGCAAGTAGTCTTTTTTATTAGCCGTGTATATGGATACATATATTTAAAATATTTAACTTAAGGTCTTAAGGAACATACTAACAGAAGAAAGGGAAAAGTTTAACAACCTTAATTAGTCAACTGAGGATGAAAAAATTGAGAGCCAATTAAGCATAATTAGTCTGTGCATGCGCCGATTAATGTGATTAGATATAATTTTAAAATACTTCAAAATTTTAAATAAAATAAATCAAGAGTTTGTGAAAGGACACATTGCATGATTATTTACCCTGAGAAAAAGGTTTCAACCGTATCACAAAAAAAAGTTGAAAATTTCCGATTTGAATGGGAATATATAAAGTGATAGTTTAAGTTAGTTTAAGTTAAAAGAAAAAAATTTTGAAATAGGAGAAAATATTTTGGAATTTCAATATAGAACTACTATTTTATTTCTCAAATAGGATTAATTACTTTTAAACTTGAAAAGTATTGTCATTTTTAAAGTTTGATATTGTCAAAAATGACAGCAATTACTCTGATTTAAGTAATAAAAACATAGTAGTCATATTTTAGAATTCAAATATTTTTTCGGTCAATTTATTTAAAAGATATGAGTATAGTTTCATTCTCCCACCATCCCGCTAACAATATGACAAGAGGGTTCGTAGTGACACACAAATCAATAAAAAGTTGTTATGTGGTTGATATTAATTAAATTATTAAAGTAAGAACAAAGTAAGAATGATTTGCAGTCACACAAACTTTATTAAACTTCATATGAGACAATCTTAGTGGGACATAGAGAATATGTTTTAGCCATATGTTTCATGTACTACTTTACAATAGTCAATATTACGTACTACATATCTCCACGTCACTAACATTGAGACATGGATATATGATTTTTAGTAGTTGATATTGAATTGATAAAATATAAATAGAATAAAAATGATTTATAATTACACAAATGTTATGATATAGGACAATTTTAGTGGGATGGTGGGAGCACAACATATTTCTTATAAGTTATATACAAGATATTGTAAGATTGAGAAGTGAATATTCTTATACCATGTTTTTGTGTGTAGCATGTTCTGAATAAGATGAGGCCACATATTTTAGCAAAGCTATTTATGTTAAATTAAATATATATATTTAACTTATCATATTCTAAAATATTCTATTCCCTCTGTTCTAATTATAGTCTTCCAAATACTTTTTAGACGCGATTTTTTGTAACATAACATTTCTCCATTTTAAAAAGTTTAACATATATCCATTTGTCCATTGTGTACTTTATTATTACTTCATCATCCCTATGATACGTTTATTATATTAATGATAATAAGTTATCTTTTAATTAAACGTATACTTTTTATACATAAAATAAAACGTATATAATTATGTTAATTATACTCTTTTAATTAATGTTGGATGGTTTTTGGCACAAACTTAACGGTGATTTCTAAGAAATATTAATTAAACTTTTTAAAATTAATATTCTTTTAACATTCCACCGTGCATCGCACGATACTAGTAGCAGCTTAAAATTCAATTTATTGGAAAGAAAAAGAAATACTCCATATTTATGTACTACATACAACATGAATGCTTAACTAAAGTTGCTCAACCAGAATAGCCGGCCAGCCATTACAATTCCTCGCAATAAATTAGGACGAGAAAGGGATTCATTCGGACCCGTTACATTTTTACAATTCTGCTGATTTTATATTACATCAAACCATTGGTAGAAAAGTCACCGTTGACTTCCCCGATGAAAGCTCCTGTCCTTAAATTCCCGAGACTTTCCGGCTATAGGGTGTGGGTTGCCGGTAGGTCAAAGAGGTCATTACTGAAAAGCTCAAGAGATGCAGAGCCTGGGGAGAAAATGAACCGAGGCGAAATGAAATTATTGAGAATCGAAGGGCTAGAAATGTAAAAGCCGGTTTCTGGGTGGTATCTGCTACTGTGCAGCACAGGACTGATTAAATCTGTGAAAAACCCTAGATGGTTTTGATCGGACGGCGGCGAGAAAAAGCTGGGAGGAATAGGCGGGAAAGAAGCCGGAGTTGGCGATAATACCCCCGCGGGGAAGTATCCGCTCCTTTCGACCTCACCGCTAATCTCTACACCCCCAACCATCCCTTCCACGTCACGTGACATCTGCGGGTCCCTACCCTTCGGCGTCGTCCGGGTTTTCTCCAAAGAAGCAAAGCAGGCCGCCGGAGACACCGCGCCGCCGGTGAGATAGCCTTGGAAGGCCGCCTGGGAGGAGGAGGACGGTTCGGCCGGGAGTGAGCCGGTGAGGCGTTGAACTAGGGACATGAAGTCGCTAGGGTTTGCATGGATAATCTTGGGGGACAAAGTATAGATGATAACGGGCGGCCGGGGAGGCGCCGCCTGCGGCGGCTGCGGCACCGGAGGAGGCTTTCTTATCTTGTGGGAGTCTTTGTGTACTTTGAGCGGCGTTGGGCGGGGACCTTGGATCTCCTTCCTCGGAGATTTTACTTCCGGCGACGACCACCGCATCTCCATATATAGCCGCCAGCAAAAGCTGATATATATGTTGCTTATAATATATCGGCGGCGGAACGGTGTGATTGCGGTGGATGGATGGGATGATTACTTAAGGATCGGATGTGTAGTTGAGTATACATACTCGTCGGTATATATACTTCAATTCGTACATATAAACCAAAGTCAATGGAGTGAAAAGTTACGCAGTAGTCGTAAAACTTAAAACTACTCAACCCTATACGCTATAGCTAGTTTTCCCCCTTGTGTATTTACTTTTAAAGAATTGCTCTTATTTGATTAAAATGTAGACAGTTTACGACTAGGTGTAATTATGTTTTAGAGTTTTTTCTTGAAATATATTACACGCATATACTATCGTATATATATAAAGATCATGAACCAGACTTAGTATAATTGTATTCAAATTTTACATGTTAGTAATCTAATGTAGTCATTATGAACAAAATTATAGTTACTACTAGTGATTAAGTCATATTTTCTTCAACCACTTTTTCACGAGTAGTATTACTTGAATTTTTTCTATGTTGTATTACTAAAAATGAGCTGTTTGGTTACATTAAAAGCACAAAAACTTGTACAATTACAAGTGAAATAGTGATATTTTGAAATAAAAGCTGATCACATTTGTTCACTTTGCATATGTTTTAGTTCTGTAAAAGATTTTTTCTTACTTTTACTCTTGATGCAACCGTCCACCAAATTTTCTTTCTTTTTGTGAAAAACCACCAAATTTCCTTTTATTACTCCTTTCATAAAATAATTTTACAATTATAGTTTTAGATGTTCCAAACTATATTATGTGATGAAAACTCCACACTACGTATGCATTCAGGGTCGGTTCTAGAAGGGCCAAGCCCAGATGTTACATTTCATACTAAGGGGTGTTTGGAACAGATTCTGCTTCTACTTCTTTTTTAAAACAGAAGCAAAATCAGAATCAATTTTCAGAAGTTAATCCTCCCAACTTCTAAAAAAAATTGATTCTAAGAATAAATATGAGCACCAGAAGTACTTCTGCACTTTCACCCAAAAACTCCAACATCCTAGGAGAAGCAGTTTTTAAGGATCACATACAATGCAAACACCCCTAATACTCCTATTCTTTTCTGCTATCTACGGAGGAGTGAGGCGTCCAACAAATTTCAGTATTTCAAGGGAACTATTTTAGAAATCCGTACACTACACTTTCAATTCAAATTAATTTGTTGATTAGTTTGATTGTTTGTTTCATTGAAGAACAAGCTGACTTCTATTCTGAAATATGCTTCATCTCATAACATTTTTTATTTCTTTCATCTCATAAGAATTGCCCAATTAAAATTGGAATAGGTCGGGCAGCTGTGATCAATTCTAATTAGTAATTACATTTGCGCATTGAAGATTATGGAAAGGAGTTGCCCGAGTAAGATTGGAAAAGCTAGGTCGGGCATTGAACAATTCTAACTAGTGAACGAACTATTAATTGTAATTAAATTGATTGTTTCTTTGCTTTAGTAAGAACGAAATTTTGAAACAAATGTGCCTTTTTAGATTTTGAAATATGCTTCATCTAATAAAAATTGCACAAGTAATGACCTATTTTAATGGTTCTGAGCTTTGGTCTGTCTATTACGGAGCACGTTATATTGACAAAAATAAGAACCAAGGGTAGTAAATAATTAAATTATACTAGCTTAGTAGTTGTAGAAGTAGTTTGAAATTGTCAGCTTATTCGGCGAGAGAATAATGTTAAGTTGATTAGCGTGTAATAATAAATGATAGAGCGAACAAGTTGAAGAGGGTAGATTTAAGAGAACGACAGCCGCATTAATGGACGATGGGGATACAATCCGTCCAGTACTTATCTCCATTAATTATTAATTAATTAAATTAAATGAGGAAATTAAGAAAGGATTATGATGCATCTCATAAAATACATGTATTATATACAAATAAGAATTATAACAAAAGGCTTTAATTTAGAAAATCACAAATCATCACCCAATAAGTAGTTACTGTTGAGACAATTAAAGCATAAATTGTACATATAGCAAACGTAACATCTTTTACCTTTTTCTTTACTTTCGTGTTTTTCTTGAGGTACTATTGTTCATTAAGAAAAATATTTAAAGCAAAGCATTAAATTTAGTTACCTGTGCTTTACAAGTATGCTCATGATGTTCAAGAATCTTATTATTTATATTTATCCGATCGAGAATTATCCCATGTACGTTATTAAGAGATTAGAATAGTGGTTGTCAAGCATTTAGGGTATGATGACATGCATCACTCCGACACTTTCAAAGAGGAAGTTACATGTTTGAAATGATCAATGTCAATTATGTTGTACAACAAAAAATGAGAGAGCAGTTGAACTGTACAAAACACCAGTTAGTCATGACACGTTCAATATAAAATGTCTTTACCAAATACTGACACTTCACACTTATTCAATAAACTCTACGTACTTTTCCTCTTGAATCCCTGCAATTCTGCTATCTAAACTCTACGTACTTTTCCTCTTGAATCTCTGCAATTCTGCTATCTCCATGACAAACATTAAGGGCCTGTTTACTAACAAAGATATTTTCATGTTTTCTACTTTTGTTTTTCGTTCTCCAATTTTCTGTTTTTATTTTTCAGTTTTTCTATCTCCAATTTTCTGTTTCTATTTTTTAGTTTTCCATTTTCAAATTTGAAAACATGTTCATCAATTTTTTCACACAGTTCTCCAATTCCACACCCTTGACCCCTACCACTACCCTTACCACGATCTTACACTCTACCCATACTCCACCACAACCCTTCATACCCACCCATACCTACTCGTAGGGGTCGGGTAGGGAAGTTATGGGTGGGGGTGGGGTAAGGGGTATGGTCGGGGTGGGGTGGTAAGGTCTAGGGGTAGGGGGTTGGGTGGGGGTGGTGGGTGGGTTAGGTCGTGGTTAGGGTTAAGGGTGGGTAGTGGGTAGGGTTGGGGTAAGGTAGGGGTAGGGTAGGGAGTTGGGATAGGATGGCAGTAGGGTGGGGTCAGGACCAGGGTGGGGCCGAGGTAGGGAAGGGGTAGGGTGGGGGTAGTGGGTGCGTTTGGGGTTGGGGTAAGGTAGGGGTAGGGTAGGGAGTTGAGATATGATGGCGGTAGGGTCGGGACAAGGGTGGGGCTGGGGTAGGGAAGGGGTAGGATGGCGGTGGGGGTAGGATGGCAGTAAGGGTGGGGGTAGTGGGTAGGGTTTGGGGTTGGGGTAAGGTAGGGGTAGGGTAGGGAGTTGGGATAAGATGGCGATAGGGTGGGCCCGGGATTCGGGTGGGGCCGAGGTAGGGTAGGGTGGGGATGGGGGTAGGATGGCGATGGGGTGAGGCCGAGGTAGGAGGCATGTGGTAAGGGGTAAGGTAGGGGTAAGTGGTAATATATGAGGGGTGGGGCTAGGGTGGGTCGGGGTGGGGTCGAGGGGGTAGGGGGGTGGCGGTAGGGTAGAGTGGATCGAGGTGGGGTCGAGGTGGTAGGGGGTGGCGGTAGGGTAGGGTGGATCAGGGTGGGGCCGAGGTCGAGGCATGTGGTGGGGCGTGGGGTAAGGTCATTATAGGGAAAAATGGTACACGGGGTGGGAGTTGGGTGGGTAGGGTAGGGGTAAGGGTTAAGGTACGAGGATGGAGGTACCGGAATGGAATCGACATCGGAGCGAGACCAGACCCACCACTAGGTGTAAGTATGCAAATTCATTGCAAAGCACTGTAGGATCTGCGTTTTCCAAATTTGGAAAACTAATAAAAGTCACTCCTCCAAATCATTAAGGAAAAGAGTGACATGTTTCATATTTTCCGTTTTGGAAAACGATTTGGTAAACGCGTTTTTCTTTTTTCCTTTCTCCAGTTTTCCAGGAATTTTTTTGATAAACACGTTTCCTGTTTTCTGTTTTCCAGTTTTCCAGTTTTCTGGAAAACTGGAAAATATTTCTGGATCAGGGACGGATCCAGGATTTCATGTTGGGATGGGCTAAAACTCTTAATTGATACTCCATCCGTCCCGCCAAGATTGTTCCATTTTACCTTTTCGGGAAGTCCCACTAAGATTGTCTTATACCAAATTTGGTAAAGATTGTGTGGCTCTAATCGTGTCACCTTCTTCCTTCCCAATCTTAGTGGGACGGAGGTAGTAATACATTAAAAAATTTCAAAATAAGCAAAAAATCAAATATAAGAGTTCTACACTGAATTTGTTCTCGACGAGGCTTTGAGAAAAAATTGTCAACGATAGAGTCTACATCTATACTAAGAGTAAGGTCTTTTCCATATAAAGTGTTATGCGATTAGCAAGAAAGTAATCATCCATTTTGTTGTGAAGTTTTGTCATTAGAAGTTTGATGGCAGAAAATGATCATTCTACTGTTGCAAGAGAACAATAAGATCAATATTAGGCAAATCAATCTGCTCATCATAAAATATAAATCATATCTTCTGCTCTCAGTCAACTCCTCATATAATTCAACAAGTGTAGATACTTGAAAACTTTGTATCATGAATACATCATGAACATAGTGTTGCAGCTCGAAGCCTCGAATTCCAAAGCACAAATATCATGGCTACTAAAATCTTCAGGATAGAACTTGCAAGAGTACAAATAGCATCGACATTAAATGACTCGTATGAACTTTTGAGATCCAATGAAGTACTTAAGAAAGTAGTTCCACTGATTTATCATTAAACCGGACCCTTAACTCCATCAATACAAAGTCCATTGTCTCATTGAAAACATCAGAGTGATAATGATGCTCAACAATATTTTATTTTCGGCAATGACCAACCATAAAACTCCTTTACTTTTTCAAGAAAGTCTTCTCATCCATTTTCTGTCAATTCCCCGAGAATGATCAGTTGTGTAGTTGATGTGAGTTTTCTCGCACTTAAAAAGATTGTAGAAAAGTGGTTGAAAGTACGAGTATCGTCTCCACAGGGACGGACAAAAGGGAATTAAAGATTAACTAAATTCAGCGATTAAAAAGAAATAAAATAAATAAATGCAAGTGTGCGAGATTTGATTGGTGAATTAAAATTAAACTAATGCGAATTGAACGATTAAAATAAAAGTGGTTTCTTCTCAATTAACGACGAAGGGAATAGGAATTGATTCCGGGGTAACCAGATTTCTGGCAGATCAGGCCTAATTACATGAATTTAATTTAATTGAGCCTAGCTAATCATTACTAAGTTCTTACCGCTCTCGCGGCGTAGAGTACAATAATTTAGGGGACCAGGCTGATCTCTCATGCGACAGGATCCTAAGTTATTGCCAAGACGAGCGAGCTTACGGCCCCTTAATCGCTACTAATCTCTTAGCGAACGATTAAGTGTGTGTGAATGTGTCCTAGAACAAATTAGATCTCTCTTAATTTATTCTACATGCAATTGTAATTCTAGCTGCAGTCTAGGTTAC